ATTCTTCAAATGCATAATCATGAACGACGTCTTGTTCATGGTACTAATATCCAAAAAATAGTATTGAAATTTTTTTGTTTTTAACTTATATGTCATCTAATATTTAACAGTTCAATAGTATTGGAATGATGATTTAGCTGAAATTGCACTACGCTATGCTCGTGGATGTATATTTGATCATGATAAATCCATTCAAAGAAATCTACCAAGTATGTTATTCAAAAAATAGATAAAAATTTTCTTTTTTTTTTTTTGTTTGTTTATTTTATTGAATATTAAATCAATATTTAGAAATTCCATTATCAACAGGACAAAATTTAGCTATGGGTTATGAAAATTGGACACAAGCTATTCAAGGATGGATTGAAGAAAAAGAACATTATTTTTATAGTTATCCATCAGCAGGAATTGTTACACATTATACACAAGTTCATATGATTTCTAAGAAAAAATATAACATTTTGATTTTTTATTATTGATTTTCTTTTTCTTTAGATGATATGGCATTCAACAGCATTAGTTGGTTGTGCAGCAACAATTTGTCCTCCATATGGACCATATACTATTCCTTGGCCTTTTTATATTTGTAATTATATCACTGGGTAAGTTATATTAAAAGAAAAAAAGAAATGACTTCCATAATCAATCGAATAAATTTACAAAAAAATATTATTAGACAATTGAACAGTGATTTTCATAGACCTTATGATCAAGGTTCTCATGATCAATCATTACATGGTAATTTTATTTTATCTTTTGTTCTGTTTTTTTGTTTCTCTATTTAAAATTATGATATTTATTTTATAGATTGTCAAGGTAAAGTATGTCTATATAATGGTACACTTGATTTGAATACATGTGAATGTAAATGTTCAACATATGCAAGTGGTTCACAATGTGAACGATGTAGATCATTTTAATTTTCTAATAAATATGAATTATTGAAATATATTGTTTAGTAAATTGTTCAATATTACCTCCATGTCTATATTATTCATCATCATCATGTATTGCTGTTAATGTTCCATTAGAATGTCCTCGTTTATGTGGTTTATGTGATCGATATGAAGTATTAAAAAATGTTTATGGAGAAAATAATTTAGCACCTAATATGCTAACAGTTAAA